TGACATAGTAAATCTTCACTACAAACAAATACAGTCATTGCGAGAGTTTTTCTACAAAAAACAAGAAACACCATAGTTACATAAAGCAGTAACTCTAGCAGACTCAAATAACACACCATTAAAATTACACTCACAACATATAGACACGACATAACATATGAAAAGCATAGACACCATTAAGCAATCATGGGTTCAAAAAGCACTCCACGGCAGGCATCCCTACAACCTGGCCCGGGATTTTGTTGACAAAACTGCGTCAAATGGCTGGTTAGCTCGGGGATGCCTCTTTGGGGAGACGGAAGGATTCGTGATTGCCATACAGAGCAGGTCATAAATATTAAAAACTACAGAAAACACATACTCAAAGATACAACATTCACAAATGACACATGCAGATAATGTCACATCATGCCAGAAACTATAGAACACATCACTGCAGGTTGCGAGCTCTTGGCACAGACAAATTATATTCATAGACATAATCAAGTAGCAAATTCATCAAGAGCTTGCAAAGAAACACAAATTATTAGACATCCACAAACTATACTACAAATACATCCCTTAGACAGTAATGGAAAACAACGCACACAAAATGTACTACGACAGAGCCATAATCGCAGATAAAGCAATTTACCACAACAGACTAGACATCACACTCACAGACCAGACAAACACAATAAAATCACATACATTATAGACATATCTATTCCAAACACTCACAATGTACAAAACACATCAGCAAGTACACAAAACTCGCCCAGGAGATAAGGCATCTGTGGAGGATGGATAGGGTGCTTATTGTACCTGTCGTTCTCTCCTATACAGGTGTGATATCACATACATTACACAAAAGCCTGGAAACATTACAATTAAAAAGAAGCACACACATCACACTAGAGAAGGCCACTATTTTGAATACACGTCATATTGTTAGGAAATTCCTGAATACAGACACACACATTGACACACTTATTTAATTTTTGTCTTGTTTTGGTTGCTATGCCTTGACTCTGGTCCGGCATAGTACACAGCCACCGGTGTCAACCGAGCATAACCCACTAAACCCAACATAATAATAATAATGTCATTATTATAATTATTACATTATCTTTCTAAACTAGCTATTATTTAATATTTTAATTATTTAAACTAGCATTGCCCGCGCGGATTTTGCAAGCAAATCCCATTTATATTTAGTATTTCAACAATCATAGTAATTGTTATATAACACCTACCGCCGAGAATGAGGAGAATTGCCGAGAATCAAACGAACTATTTTCAATTTGATCAATTTTCTGGAACGTTTACAATCGTTCTATAATCGAACCAATACGCAATAACAAATTCGAATTTAAAACGGTTCGAACATTTTAAAAATCGAAATAGATAAAAATATTTATAACAATGTCTGAAATGTTATTAATTTAATACACCTAAGTACTCGATGAAGACTAAATTCTCTCCCTCTCCCGCTCGCGAGGGAATTTCGAAAAATCCCTTCTTAGTGTGCATTTCCATGGCATACCCTAGTAAAATGCAGATAAAACCAAAAAATCGCATCTAAAATAGTACAGTAAAAGCCATTCTTCCGGTTAAGTCTTAATCCCCTTCCTTTCCCCCCGAGGGGGAATTTCGAAAAATCCCTTCTTAGTGTGCATTTCCATGGCATACCCTACTAAAACGCAGATAAAACCAAAAAATCGCATCTAAAATAGTACAGTAAAAGCCATTTTTCCGGTTAAGTCTTAATCCCCTTCCTCTCCCCCCGCAGGGATATTTCGAAAAATCCCTTCTTAGTGTGCGTTTCCATGACGTACCCTAACTGTGTACCAAATTTCACCTCTTTAGGTTAAGCGGTCTGCTCTGGGCGATGATAAATCAGTGAGTGAGTCATTCATTCAGTCAGTCAGTCAGGACAAGCAATTTTATATATTTAGATTATTGTTATATAAAATTATATAGAAATAATAATTTTATTATTATTATTACCTAAACTAATAATTATATATTTATTATTTATAATAACGTAATTGTATATAAACTATAAATTTTTAGCAAGTCTAATAAACATAATCTTCAATATTTTAAAATAACATTTATAATATAAATAATTTTTTTTCAATTGTAATTTAAACAATATTTATACTGTATATATTATATACACTTCGTTTCCCTGTGCAATTTCAAAACCGGACCCCATCGGGCTTTCACCACACATACATAGCAACGATAAGTAATTTATTCGTTTTAAAAACAGTAAAGGACCCGAGTATACTGTAGGCATACTTACTTTGTGACGAACACGGGCAACCTAAAAGTTCTTTCTGGACTTTATTGCAGCTTAGACACGTTCAGTTCCTTCGCTTCTGAATTTTCGATAGAAACTAATGCTAAGCCACTTATTCTCTCTTCATCCGTTTAACTCATCAAATAATTTTTATGTAATTTCGGCTATTGCGGATAGTGCGAGGTCCAGGGCCCCTAGCTGCTTTCGAACCCTGTGGAATTGCACAAGTGTAGTTACGCCACTGATACGCTATATATAGTTCGATGCCATATATAGCAGCTAATATCTATATTTTAAAATTATTAATTAGAAAAAATACACTTTAATATAATGCTTTTATAAATATTACATTAATACAGTATTAATGTAAAAGTGATTTTATAATTATTACCTACAGACACAGTATAACCTGCGCTAACTGGAACCAGACGGTAACGAATATTTTTTCCGTTTTGAACAGGTTTTACTGCATAAATATATCTTTTTATTGGCTATTCAACGTACTTCAAAGAAATCCAAAGGATAATTTACAGATCTAATGGGTGGAGATTGAAGAAAAAATGATAAAATGTATATTCTACGATCTGATTTAAAAGAATGTACGACATTCTTTCTTCTTCTAGATCCGGCATTGATTATATTTTATTACTTTTTTCTTAAATTAGTGAATGTCTTTACTTTCTTATCATTTAAACTAAATTTTATCAATGTAAAAAATACTTTAAATCGATATACTGTATTTATTCCTCCCTTCTTTCGTAGCCTCTGCAATTTATCTTTAAGGTCTTACAAAAGTATGCTGATATTTATCTTAATTGGATTTATTCGAATGGTATTTTTTGCTAGAATCATTTTTCTAGCGGTGCAATTAATTATTCTTTTAAAAAATAATCTATCATTATTGTTTTAGTTAGGTTAAAATTTATAATGAATGACTTTTAATTTTATAACCTGTCCAAAACGGAACCCGACTACAACGGAAACCTGCCTAAACTGTAAGCATTCTTTATGATTATCTCTAATCAGTACAGACAATTAATCTTGTCTTTGACTGATCTTGATACAAGTTAACTTAATATAGCGAGGTGGCCCAAAAGTTAGCTAACTTTTGGGTTTTGTTTGTTTTCTGTTTCAGAAACGTTTGAACATTTGTGAACAGAAATTGTCAACTGAGGGGAACACCGTGTTTTCAGATTCGTATTTAAGTATCTCAATAAGGCAACAACAACGCTTTACAGCAGTTAACTGACTTTTAGGGACACCCTATACAGGTTATTTACTTAGTTAAACTTTCATACGCCAATTTTTTTCAAATTTAATTGTATATAATTTACGGCTATTAAATGTTTTAGAAGTGAATTAATTTATTTTTAAAAATTAGCTTTAAATAATTAATAATAACATTAAAAAATAATGTTGTATGTAAAATATAAAATCGCTTTATTTAATTTAAATATATATATATAAACCTGTGTAAAACGAATACCTGCCAAGCCGGAAAAATATTCGGTACCATTTTACGCAGATTTTAGTATATAAAAATATTTAATTATTTAAAAAAATACATACAGTATATACATTTAAGATATAATAGTATAAAAATTTAATATATTTATTTACATAAAGTTTATAATTTTTAAATGATTAAGCATTATTTTTATACATTGAAACCTGTGTAAAACGGAACGGCATGGTACCGAATATCTTTTCCGGCTTGGCAGGTTTCCGTTTTGCACAGGTTTTACTGTATTTAGATAGATATAAAAGGAGAGGTTTACATAAAAATTTCTTATCGGTTAAACCGCTTAAAAATCTTCTTTAATATTATTATTTGAAACTTAAATAAATATTTGAACGCATTTAATAAATGTAAAACGAAAGAATTCCCTCTTGTATTTTATAAAATTTTAGAAATATTTTCTATTGAAAATAAACAAAAAGTTTATTGACTAATAGGCTAATTATTGGAAGCAACATTTCGGAACAATAGGAACACATTGAAAGATACAGTCTTTTTTAATTCTTTTTTCTTTTCCTCGCTCGCCCGCATACAATTCAAAACAGGTTTCTGAGACTATTAACAAGTTTACAGCAACTTGTTCAAAATAAGCCGCCACTATCAAAGAAGAAAGTAATAATAACAAAATGAATGGCTGTACTTTACTCTCTTCTTCTTTTTTATTATTATTATTCTTTATAAGTAATAATAATAAAGAAAATTTTCTATCGTTTCGTTTTTATGACGTTTAATCACTCTTACGCCGCTCTGAAGTGTCTCGTACAATGTGTTTTGCATCAGATGAATGGCTAAATCCTTGTGGCAGCTTTTATGGATTATCAAGTGTTTAAAGTTCCTTACATCAGCAACGTGTGTGCAGGAAAGTGGCTATCGGTTTGCTGTGTTTCCAGCTTTAAAAGCCAGCAAGACGCCAGATCTAGTAGCTGGCCATTCTCTAATTACTACGCCGGGACACGGTACCCTGTCGTGATGGATGACCTGGCACCATTCCCTGCCTGAGACCAGCCCACTTGCCTCGGGCCGTTGATATTTTGAGCGGCAAACATCAAACACTCTCCTGCACATTCCACCACTCGCCTCCTTACAACTCACACTACAACGTGTAGTTACGCCGGAGGAAGTAGTCCGAGTGACTTTTGTGATAGGGGGTATCCGTCCGCTCGCCTAAACCAAGGACAGATTGTACGAAAGTTCAGTGTGTGGGTTGTGTGTTGTCATGTGAACTGTGCCGATTTGAATTCGACTCAATTATGCGCTTGTGTGTTGCGATATTGATCGCTCTTGTATGGAGATGTTTAGCTAGAGATTTAGAAATTAGACGAAGTAAGTGTGAAAGGATAACCATACCGATGTGTCAAGATATGCCATATAATTTAACGAGGATGCCTAATGTGATGGGACACACGGATCAAGCCGAAGCTGCTATACAAGTGCACGAATTTTTACCTTTAGTAGAAATTGGATGTTCGAAACATTTAAAATTTTTCTTGTGTTCTCTATACGCACCGATGTGTACCGAACAAGTGGACTTTCCGATTCCTTCGTGTCAAAGTATATGCGAAGAGGTAAAAGCGCGTTGTTTACCCGTATTATTACAGTTTAATTTTAATTGGCCAACCATGTTGAACTGTAGTAGATTACCTATACCGGAAAAGAATGCGCTTTGTATGGAGTTTCCGAACATAACCGACGAACGACATAAAACGAGACCGCAACCTATCGTCCCTGATAAGGATGCTGCTAAAAAAATAAATAGTCTACCGCTCTATCCTCAAAGACGTCCTGATAAATATCGACCTGTAGCTAGACCCGGTACACCTACTGTTCTACCTGGTGTACCTTCCATAGTATGTCCCGACGGCTATGTTCTTTTGACAGGAAAATCTAATGGTTGTCGACAGATGTGCGGTCGTGACGTATACTTCACTCGAGCTGATAAAAACTTTGTGGAAATTTGGATGGGAATATGGGCTGCTGTTTGTTTTATGTCGACTCTTTTTACAATATGTACCTTCTGGATTGACACTTCGAGGTTCAGATACCCGGAAAGACCGATTATTTTTCTTAGTATGTGTCTTTTCGTTACGAGTGTAGCTTATTTATTACGAATATTCGCGGGTGCTGATTTTGTATCGTGTGACCACACGGACGGTTCCCGTAGTCACCTCATTACCAATGGATTAGATAGTACCGGATGTATTGTAGTGTTTCTCTTGTTATACTTTTTTGGTATGGCTTCGGCTCTGTGGTGGGTAATTTTAACTCTTACCTGGTACTTAGCTTCCGGTAAGAAATGGGGACACGAAGCAATCGAATCTCGCTCCAGTTACTTCCACGTTATAGCTTGGACTGTTCCAGCGATTCTTACAATAGTGGTATTGACCTTAAGACACGTGGACGGTGATGAATTAACTGGATTATGTTACGTTGGAAATCAAGATCGTGACGCCCTTCTAGGATTTGTCATTGTACCTTTATGCGTATTTTTTTGCCTCGGTGCTGTGTTTATTGTGTTAGGTTTCGTATCTTTAGTTCGTATAAGGAATGCAATGATCACAGGTGGACGAAATATCGATAAACTACAAAGATTAATGATACGTATTGGGGTGTTTTCAGTTTTATACAGCGTACCAGCCGTTTGCGTTATAGGTTGTCACTGGTACGAATATACTAACCGACCTACATGGGAAGCTGTTGCCATGGTTACTGCTCTAGAGTGCCAGTTAAGAGGGGACAATGGTTGTACCCTGAGGAACAGTATTCCACGTCAAGAAGTATATATCGTTAAGGTGTTTATGTCACTACTTTTGGGAATAACGACTGGCGTATGGATCTGGAGTAGTAAAACTTGGAATTCCTGGGGTAAGTTTTGTAATCTTCGACTTTCCAGGAAGCCAAGAAGAGATTTTAAACAAACGAGAACGTTATATCACGCGCCAGGTTCTTCAACTAAAACCACTTCGTATCGGAAATCCATAAGTCAAGTGACTCGTGTATAATTATTTGAAATTTTATAAATACTGTATAAAGTTATTTATATAAAATTTTATATAATAACATTCCAAAATAGACTTAAATATACAACAATTGTTTTATTGTAAATACGTTTTGTCGCTTGTAAAATAACTGCATTTTTATATTAATATTATTATTGAACCGATGTTTGTATGATTCAATGTAGATGAATAATTCGTGTTCTAGGCTGATATTAATGTATAGAATAAGCAATCCATGTTCATGCATGCGTGGACTTGAATATAGATAATCGAGGTGAAGTATATTCTCATCGTGAATGAGACTAAAGTTATCACGAAAGCACTTGAACTTCTGATAAAGTCATTGATATAGCTACAAACATAAGATTTTCATGTAAATTATGTAATTTTACATTGTATTTAATAAAGAATCCAATGCTATTCAACTGTAATCAACTAAATTTTATTTAAATCTATATATATTTTCATTTTACTTGTTTATAAAATAATCATAAATTAAAAAATCGATTTTACAATATTTTAATTAACATTTTTAAAATATCTTGATAACAATTTTATTTTAACATTTAAAAAATTATTCTTTTATATATTTTATATAGAATTAAATTATTTTTAAGTGAAATTTAATCAAATATTATTCAATTTTCTTAATTAATCTTTAACATAATTAAAAATTATTTATTTATTTTTTATTAAGCAATTATTTATGTGTAAATTTAGTTTAAATTCTTTACCCAGTTTCAAAATAGACCAACTGATTTTAGTGTTATATCATAGATAAATATAGTACAATATATAGCGTAATCAATCATATTGGGTGAATATGTCCGAATTTTTAATTCAAAAACTAGTTAATAATAATAACAGAATAAAGTAGAAAATTAAAAATAACACCTTAACTCATAAATAATTGTTTAATAAATTTAATTAAATTATTAAATCATTCTTTGTGTATAAAAGATATATATTTAAAAATATGCTCCGAATTTTAACTAAAAATTGAATTTAAATATTTAGATATTTTTTTAAAATTAGTTTTCAGGTCAATGTTTCTTTCTTTCTTATCTTATCTGCGGAGTGGCTTTGATCTTCCTATGTTTATCATTTGACAGAAGATAAATAAAATTATTCATTTTCTATAAAAGGATTCACTGTTTTCTTTATTTTCACTTTTTAAATTTTATTTTAAGTAGAATCTAAACAAGGAGGAAAAAAATTCATTTTTTTCTCACAAAAACAAAAATTACAAAATTTAATTTTTAATTTAAAATTAAAATAATGAAATTTGTTATCCCGAAAGGTTAATTGATATAATTAATTCAATAATATAATTGAATAATTTTCGAATTAGTTTATTTATTAAAAAATGTATTTTTCAAAATCTTTAATAAATTAGACATTGTTGAGGATGTTATTTATAAATAATTTTAATTAAATAATTTATTTCTAAAATATTTGCTCAATTAATTTTTTATATTTGGCACAGCTTCAACAGTTATAATATATTTAATTGCTAAATTTTATTTCATTATTTAAATATTTTAAGGAAAAACTTCAAATTTCGATAATTATAAAGCAAACTTTAAACTAAATTTAGATTAAGGAGTATAAAATGTAATTAGAATTCTTCGCAATTAAATTAATCACCGAGTTCATATTAATAAAAATCTTATAACATTAGTATATGAAAGGCATAACTTAACTAATAATAAAATACTTTTAATATATTAAAACTAATAAAAGAATAATTTAATTAATGTGTAGTGTTCTAAGTTTCTACATAAATTCCAATTTAACCGCCTGAAATTACCTTTACTCTCCCTCACCTTAATTATAGCTTATTAAATACGCAAAATTAAGGCCTTAATAAATATTAATATTATTATATTATATATTATATAATAATATTATATTATTATATAAATAAAATTAAGGCCTTTTTATTACAAGCCTCTATGAATTGCGACAACGGCTAATTCCAACTCAAAATTTAATCTTTTATCTAAAAATATGATATAAACACATATAAATTGTATCGTAAATGTGNGACCGCTCCGAGCTCCATCTCACCTCTATGAGGTCTTGAAAGCTGGATATATATTCATGACTAGTAAATATATCCACACAAATTTTCCAAACATGTACTGCTAAGAAGAATATTTAGAGTTTCACGATTCTAATTTAATATTCAAAGCGTGACTAGTAGTGATTATAGTTGTAGTTTCCGTACTTTTATATTCCTTTATAATAATTTTTTAAAACTGTTTGTTCAGAGTTTTATACAATATAAACAGTTTTTTTTTGGTCTGTTTGTTTCTCTATCCGCCGTCTACCCATTTTCCTGTTCATTTTACCTATTTTCATTAAAGATTTTATGTAAAAAATTCATATAAGCTTTCATATATTAATTAATAAAAAAGTAGGCCATAAATTATTTATTTTTAAATGTAAATAAATTATTAATTTATTCAATTTAAAATTTAATTTAAGGAAGCAATTTTCAATGTTATTCAGGTAAAAAATTATTTATCAGATTAAAAAAACGAATAATTTAAATGATAAGTAAGAGTATAAATTATAATTTATATATAATTATAAATAAAGCTATTTTATTTTTTAAAAATTGATATTTTTAATAATTTAAAATAACGTTTTTATTCAGTTATTGATGCTCATACATGCAACAATTACATTAAATATTTAAAAAATTAATGAAAATTTAATGGCGTTAAAAGCATAAAAATGACATTTAAGGCAATTATCTCGATAACTAACCGATAAAAAGTCATAAAATGCAACATTGATAATTATTAAAAATGTTTAAAAAAATTAAATTTTATTGCTGGAATTTATTTTTAAAACTCAGTTATTTTTTGTGATTTTGTCTTAAGTAATTAAGTTTTATCATTTATAAACAATCAGTAATTAAACTTTGTTAACAAGGCATAAACCTTGATTTGTAAGGAAGATAAAATACATTATCTTATGTTTAATTTTACCTTTTTAAAACGAATAAAAATTATTTATTGTATATTATTTTAATTTATTTTAATATTTAAATGATTTAAAATGTAATTTATTTCTTCTGTTGCAGTTTTACACGAAAAACTTTCATATTCACATTAATGAAATCGACCGAGATAAATTCTAGAAATGATGTTAAATGTTCTGTAAAATATTCAAGTTAATGAAATTTCTGAATAAAAAATATTAATAAAAAAATTAATTCCTGCTCTTATAAGTACCTTTTTTGTGTATAACTCACAACAATTTATTATAATTTTAATTATACTGTATTTTTATTATTAGCTGTATAAAGTATAATAAATAATTTTAATGTAAATTTAATTACAATTGCGAAAAAATATAATAAAAAATTAAATTATAAATTAAACCCTAACTAAATTATTAAAAAATTGTTTTTCTAGATTATAATTATGTCACAACAGGAATTTCAAATGCTTAAGCATCACTTATGTGTATTTTATATAAAAGAATTATTTTAAATATACATATATATAAAATAAATGATTTTTAAACATTTAAAATTCCTGTTATGACTTAATTATAACTTATAATTTATTTTTATATGTTGTATATAAAATAATTATTTTTAAAATGGAGCAAATTCCTGCACACATCATAAAATTGCCATTTACTTTATTCTAAATGATATAAACGAAACTTGTAAAAGTATGCCTTTTTTTCTCCCTGTAAGAGTGTTGATTTAATGACTGTCATATGTTACATTTATGGTTTGCCTTGAATGTTAACGTATGGCTGTTACCAACTTTTTTTTATGTCTTTCATTCAACAGAAATAGAACATTTGGAAACTGTTACATATCAAAAAGAAGCAGTATGAAACAGAATTAGTAATTTATGATAGAACACTTTATTCTTATTCTAGATTAATTTATTACCATTTTTATTTCTTACATTCAAATTATTATATATACAGTGCCATATAAGAAGGGCCTGACGTTATGAAGCTACAAATTAAGGTCTTTTAAATTTATTATTACTTACATGTTAGTAAAGGGGAGTATGAATATAGGGATTACAATAATACTAAATCAGGTCCCGAATGTACATATAATAAAATTGTATATATTTTTTTGTTTTAAACAATTACAAATGATACTTATTATCATGCAATGTATTGTTTTAATTAATATTTAAATAGTATAAAATTAGGTCAAGGTAACGAGCGTGAGAGAAAGCGAATTTTTGACATCTCACTTTTATTTTTTTAAATAAAAAATTTAATGAAAAATTACATAATTTTATTTAATTAAAAATTTTTCATATTCAAAATACATATTATTATTATTATTATTCCCTTCAGAAATACGGCAGTTTTGATCCTAGTTACTGGTGAGGATATTTATTAAAGTGGAGAGGAAGTTTGTGGCATTTTTTAAATGTAATAATCTGTTTGGAAGTGATCCAAAAATCATTACTAGGCACAGTTATTTTTTGTCACAGAGTCTCAATGTCTAACAAAGACATCTCACAATCGTTTTACAACCGACCACATGGCGAGGCTTGTCATTGGGGATTTTAGCATGTTAGCTTATCCATGCGTGCATACAGAACGAAAAGAATTTTGTATATTTGTACAGTTAAAAACATCGCTCCTATGAGAGATTAACTATTTTTATTGATCTAAATAATATTTTAAACTTTATACGATTATAGACATTATATATAAGTGAAATTATTTGTAGGAAAATATATTATTCATATTTTAAGCTGTATATAATTATTTTTTTAATTAAATACTTAATTTTAACTGCAAATTTTTATTGAAAACAATAAAATAAAGATCAAGTTTTCATAACTTAATTTGTTTAAAATATTTAATTTATTAATTTTATAATTATTGTTTCTAATATTAATTAACGAAGTACATATAAATTACATTTAAACGTTAAACTTCGATTTGTCTTCCTCTGAAATTGTAAATGGTGTGTAGCGCTAAATTGAAACACTTCAGACAATAAGAATTATATTTAGTAATGAGGTCTAACACAGGCTTCAGTGTGAGAGTTTGATAACACCGTTGTTTCCAATGCAAAATCGTACATTTATACTTCAGAGTACTGAAGGGTCCTCTGTTCATGGAAGAAAACTGTTCACGAGTATTTTAAGAGGATGGCAGTTTCTAAATCACTACATCGAGGTTTGAACGTATACCATATTATAGTTAATACAGTAACTACTAAGAAGTTATATAATTTATAATACAATTCCTTAGTATGGTAGACAATTAAATCTCGATATAGTAACCTTCTATTAATAAATAGCGCCATCCTGACTAATGAATATAATTTGAAATAAAGTTACATTAAATTAAAAGTAATTAATCTAATTTTTGAGCTCCTAAAAGAATAAGACTCTGAAATTAATCTCGAATTTAATTAAATTTT